TCTACCAATCTATGAGCATAGAATGTTTTTTCATTTGTTTGTGTCATCTACAATATCTTTTATCAATGTTTTTAGTTCTCTTTGTAGAGAACTTTCACCTCCTTAGTTAAGTATATTTCTAAGTGTTTTGTTTTCTTTTTAGCTATTGTAAATGGTATTGAGTCCTTGACTTGACTCTCAGCTTGACTGTTATTAGTATATAGAAATGCTACTGATTTGTGTACATTGATTTTATAACCTGAGACTTTGCTGAATTTATTTATCAATTCTAGGAGTCTTTTGATGGAGTCTAGGGTGTTCTAGATATAAGATCATATCATCAGCAAATGGGGATAGTTTGACCTCTTCTGTCCTGATTTGGATGCCCTTTATTTCTTTCTCTTGCCTCATTGCTCTGGCTAGAACTTCCAGTACTATGTTGAATAGAAGTGGTGACATTGGGCTCTCTTGTCTTGTTTCAGTTCTTAGGGGTAATGCTTTTAACTTTTCCCCATTCAGTATGATGTTGGCTATGGATTTGTCACATACGGCTTTTATAATTTTGAGTTATGTTCCTTCTGTGCCTTGTTTGTTGAGGGTTTTTATCCAGAAAGGGTGCTGGATTTTATCAAATACTTTTTCTTTGTCTATTAAAATGATCATCTGGTCTTTGTTTTTGCTTCTGTTTGTGCCTTGAGTCACATTTATTGATTTGCGTATGTTGACCTATCCTTGCATCCCTTGGATGAAACCCACTTGATCATAGTGAATAATGTTTTTAATGTACTGTTGAATTTGGTTTGTTGGTATCTTGTTGAGGAATTTTGCATCAGTGTTCATAAGGGATATCGATCTGTAGTTTTCTTTTTTTGTTATGTCCTCCAAAAGTTTGAAACAAATTCTACCAATACAAAGAAGTTGGATTCAGAAAGACTAGATCAATGCTTGTCTCTGCCTCTGCCCATGTAGCTGTGAATGCTAATCATATCCATACTACAGCTTTCTCCTACATTAATGTGTGTTTATGAATATCTTACAGACAAATCTTATAAAAAATAAGAGATTTCTAATAAAACAATGAAATATAAAAAAAGTATATTATACTTTTATGTCTTTTGTATTATCCTCAGTATCCAGGAAACTGGATAGGAATAAAGATGAAGTGATTTTATAAAATCTTTATTATATTATGGTAATAAACTACTGGCCACAAGTTTTAAAACAGAAACTCTTTTATACAAGTCTTATATACAAGATTGCTGAGAAGTCCAAGTTTACTCTTGTCTGTCACAAGGGCCATTTCAGTGCAAAATTTTGAGACATACTGGCTTAAGGGATTATAATTGTTATTTTAAATTTTCTTATTATTTTTAATTGCATAAATGTATCCTGAGTGTCAGATTCAACGCGATCCTAAAGAGTATAATGATTCTTAATGTATTTTAAGTATTCAAGAGTTCAAGTACTGTTTTTAGCCCTGGACTAGGTTAATCTTGGTTCTAAATGTCAGTGCAGAGCTTATATATCTCTTATGTGCCACTTGTAATAGCAGACAGGGGCGGGG